TGCGGGCGCGTACACTGGCGCCGTGCTGCATGCAATGCCTGCGCACGTCAAACACCCTACACGCTGTACTCGGTGCACACTTTCAGAGCTGTTTAAGTACACTTGACTGAAACAATGGATCAGTTTAGATTGGCGTGCTCTGACGACTCTAATGTCATTAATTTCACTACAACGGGTGGGTTAATACAGCGAAAAATAGAGGTCAGCAGTTCGTTTTCGAATATCGCGCCGAAATATCCGCAGGTGACGTCATAGCATACTCTTCGTATTTCGTTGTCATGTGCTCATCCGAGTATCCTGAAGCTTTGTGTGTCAAATCTGTGGCCCTCCCGATGGACAGTGTACTTCATTTTTGCTGATTGGGAACTGCGTAAGACCTAGTAGGCGCACCGTCGAAATCCGTGACGCCACGGCGTTAGGTGCGGGAACCATAGGGTAACACGTTACTCTGTGCGGGAACTTCAAGGTCACCCACGTTTTCTTTTCGCGTCTTATCTTTCTTACCACGCGTTTTCTCGTGGCAAGTGTGGCGATTTCGGAGCGTTGGAAGCTTAAGTGACCGATATGGAAATAAAAATTGGTTTCCCCTTCCTGGACAGTTCCGGTCAGCTCGGTGTTGGCGAAAGACACCGGACGCGCCAGATGTGTGCTCGCGTTGTCGTCCGCTGTGTGCTTAGAGAAAGTGTTCAACGATTACGACTCCACTATGGGAGATCAGAAAGGCGTCCCAACCGATTTCACGCCTGAGGCAAAGGGGGGGGGGGGGGAGACGAAGTGGGTAACGATATAGCGTACAAGGTACTCTACTATGGGAGAGCTTAAAGCCGCCCCGTGGGCCTCATCTAGAGGAAACCCAAGCTTGTGCAAGAAAGTGGGGGGGGGGGGGTTAGAAAAAGTGGGTAACGATTTAGAGTACCAGGTACTCTTCTATGGGAGAGCTTATAGCCGTCCCCGAAATTCACAGCAAGAAAGTGACAAAGGCGAGGGATGCATTTTGCAAACAGCTGGCTCGCCGATAAGCGGCGATGACGACTTATAGAAACGCGACCCTCTTGAGGTGCACAGGTGTGGATGCCTTTTCTAAGCGCCGCTCTCCTGTAACTAATGCTCTCGGAATCGTGCGCTTGTGGGCGATCAGCCGTTCTTGATATGGCAGTCTGATCTTTTATCGAGGTTTTGTCATTTCGCGTTGCCATCGTTTCGTTGCTGCCTGGATATGAGTGCATGTCCGTCGTTGTTGTCCGTAGCAAACGAAGCGTTGTGTTGCTAAGCACGCGGGAGCAGGTCCGGTTCCCGGCATTGATGAAGGAAACAATTAGGGGAGGGGACATTACGCGATGCGAAAGAACGAAAAATACGTCAGGCTAGGCAAGCTTAACTAGCCTCTCGATGAGGCTACGCAACACGCAAAAGGGTAAAAAAAAAAAAACAGACGAAAGTCGCAGATTAAAATGCCGAGCAGCGCAACATACCAGTTCCACGTAAAGCAACGACTAGTACCATGGCTTACCGGTGAAGTGCTTCAGCGCCTTGCTTGTGTTGCTCGGGCGAGCTTCTTTCGTCCAGTCAATAACTGAAAGGATAAAAAAAAAAAGGAAGGAAAACGTTATACATTACGCGTGTATGTACGAATATTAGATATCATTGCTGATTGTGCTGCGCTCAGTCGCGGCCGAAATAAATTTTGCTGGCCGCTGTTTTTTTTTTTCTTGCTCTGTCCTTTGCCGAGTGCATATGTAATAACCCCCGACCAGTGAGTGACCATGTATGAAAACAAAATCGGTATGGAAATGGCCAGGGCCATTACACGTACGGGAGAGAAACGAATGGCGAATACGCAGCATTAAGTGGCTTTCCAATTAAAGAGGCGTGACGGCTATTGCAATTAAATATTGCGCTCATTTGCGAAGCCTACAGGTTTCGGAAATGAGCGATATATATATATATATATATATATATATATATATATATATATATATATATATATGTGTGTGTGTGTGTGTGTGTGTGTGTGTGTGTGTGTGTGTGTGACAGAGAGAGAGAGAGAGAGAGGAAGCTTCGCAATATAGTGATGCGTAGCTTCCCGATTCCTCAAGCTATCAGCAAGCGAGCCCGCAATAACTACAACTATTTGCGCATACATTATGTGGCGCTTGGGAAAAAAAAAATATTAAGCTTGTGCTCTCGTCCGCTTCTGTCAAACATCCGTAACTCTCCTTATCCCATAGCTATATCACGCCAGTTATACTTTCTTCTCAATTTATGCTTGCCCGTTTCAAGCCACATACAAGAAAATTGGCCCCCGTATCTGCATGTAACACTGTAAATGTCGTGAAAGACGATAGTCTTGCGTCTGGAGAGAGTGAACAAAACGTTTATTTGATGTTCTGCGCAAGAAAATCGGTGAATGGTATTCCGGAGGCGCTGCGTTAGAGCTGCCTCGAGCGTGCAGCGGAGGCGAACGAACGCATCGAGTCACGTCACACGTGAGACATGAGCGCTATCTGGCAGTTTTTCTAGAAAACGGGGCGTGCGCAGCCTGTCTCGGAGGTGATAACGTGCAGAACGCAAGGCGACGGGATAGGTGCCACCACCGTGTCGTCTAATCAAAGCGTTGGAAATTAACACTTGCCTTTTCGTGCAAGCGTTGCATGTTCAGCGCAGCGTGATAAACGCTACGGTCCTTAGAATTACTTATGTATGCTTTTTCTAGTAAAAGGCACTCAGAATATTAACGTGTTGTTATGGTGCCTCAGAAATGCGCAATAATTGCTTTTTTAATTGACAGTCGCACAAGTATGAACACTGAATCTTGATTAATATTGGTGGGCGCTGCTGATGATGTCGGCCGTTTGGGGTATCGTCGTGTGTGTTTAGAGCGGACAAAGAGACAAAAGTACAGACAGACAAAAATTCTTACGTCGAAGGTCTCCAAGAAAAACTATCGTCTTAAAAAAAACATTGTGACGCGGCGAGAATTCAACGTTTTTTTCTCGACCCATTGCGCTCCTCCCTTGACGTCTTGTCATGTAGTGCCCTTACAGCACGTAAATGGTTCCTTAAACGGTTTTTAAAGACGATAGTCTTTCTTGGAGACCTTCGACGCAAAAATTTTGGCCTGCCTGCCTGTCTGTCTGTCTGCCTGTTTGTCCACTCTTAATGGCATTGGGTACTTGAAACGGCCGACGCCATCCGCAGCGCCCACCTATGTTGCTCAAGGTTGAGCGTTCATGCTTGTGCAATTGTCAATTAAAAAGCAATTATTACGCATGTCCGGGGCACCATAACAACACGTATATATTCTGCATGTGCGCCTCTTACTAGAAAAGGCATACATAAGTAACTTTAAGGACCGTAGCGCTTATCACGCTGCGCTGACCATGCAACGTTTGCACGGAGAGGCGAGTGTTTCCAACGCTTTGCTAAAACGATACGGTGGTGGCACCTACCCGTCGCCTTGCGTTCTACACCTTATCACTTCTGAGATGGGCGCGCACACCCGTCTCAGAGCCACGCGTTTTGTTTTCTAAGACGACTGCCAGATAGCGCTTATGTCTCACGTGTGACGTGACTTGATGCTCTCGTTCGCCTCCGCTGCACGCTCGAGGCACTCTAACGCAGCGCCTCCAGAATGCCGTTCACCGATTTTCTTGCGCACAACATTAAATAAATGTCTTGTTCACTTTCTCCACACGCAAGACTTTCGACGACATTTGCAGATTACATGCAGATACGGGGCCATTTTTTTTCTCATTCCGTTTTTGATTAGACGACTACTGGGGCAAATCATTGGCACCAGAGTCGAATCAAAACACCCATTATTAACAGAGCTACGAGTACTACAGAAGTATCCTCCTCCGCTCCGTCTTTCGCCCTCAACTCTTCCTTCGAGCGCTCGGGGCTAAGCTCCGCCTTCAAGGCGCCTTCGTGACGTTGTGGCGTGAGACCCCATACGCATAAATCCCGCTGCCGATCCAATACCGGCAGTCTGTGCTGCGCGTTCCACAGCCAATCAGATCAGCTGGAAACGATGGCGTCAGTGGGGCAGAGCGTGTCGCTTGGTGTATGGGCGGTTGAAAACACGTTTGGCCGAGTCGCAGCGATCTGCAGCAATCTGGACTGACTCGCTGCTTTAAAGCGTTCTAATGAATTACACAGTTTACGCAGAGAGCTGAAATCGGTCTCTAAATTACCCTTGAAACTTGGTCTACCGGCCCAATGTGTTCCTAAAGAATCGCCAAAACCGTTTCAGGGTCCCTTAAAACGTCGCATCGCGTTCTTCGGAGAGAAAAGAGTTTCCGAGCAGCAACCGCGGGTCGCCCAGTTGCCAAGCTCCTTGAAAACAGATTTGAGCCTACTAACCCCCCACCCCTTTATCCGGGGTTGTGTGTTCAGGAAACAACAAAAAAAAATAGTACAAGTACACAAATGAGATGAATGAAACATATAGCGTGTAGTGGGTAGATGGCGCCGCCGCTCCCCCCAAAATATGGGTGCGGAGACCTCAGGACGATGACACGCGCTGTCCCCTCCCATCTCTGTCTATTTATCTTAACCCCCCCCCCTTTCCCCGCTCCACGCCTATCTACCGCACCACCATAGGGTAACCTCACACCGCCGCATGCGTCGCTAATTGCGCGCGTCGCCGCACTTAATTGCGCACGGCCGTCCGTCGTGCACGCCTCCAGTAAGCATGGCGGGTGTGCAGGAACGCGCGAGAGCCACCGCGAAGTACCACATGCGCGCAACCGCGGATGCTGCACACACGTGCGACTCCCCTGCTGCTACTACGAAGTACACTGTACTGCTACTACCGCGAGCACCGGTGGATGTCGGGAAGGTGGCAGATGGCCCTCGGAGATGGCAAGTCCCCGCCTCGTCGACTGCGTGATCCGAGACCAACCCCCTTCTCGAAATAGCGGGCCCATATCTTGCTACCGCTTTCGTTGGTAGCAAATTCTGTCCCGACCGCGCCGCGCCTCGTGCTAGGCCACATATAGGAAGGAGAGAGATTTAGAATGGAGCATCACCTGACACTCGCGAAGCCTGGAAAAATGTCGCAAGGACCCTAATGAATTTTCGAGACGACCGTATGGCGAAAGCCAACTTATGCTTGTTTCGAGTCGTATTGATCGCGCCTGCCGGCAGGAGCGGCGCCAGTGGAGGGCACGGGCGGGCTGGCGTTCCCCAAAATTCTCACCTCCTCCCCCCCTTTGCCTCTCCCCTCCGCAAGAGCAAGTGTAGTAAGAACACAACGCGCTAGTTCTGTGCCTTCCTGCACCCCTGGAGGAATACAATTGGCGTCGGTGCTCACCCAGAAAAAAAAAAAAAATAGTCCAACGTGCTTTTGCGCTGCCTCCGTGATCGGGCCACTTTTGACCAAGGTACGATGTGATGCGATGACGTCCTCATATGGCCTGATATGACGACAGAATGACGTTACGACTACGCCACAAATTTCGGCGTGCTACGTCATCATTGATGATAATCTTTTTGCATCACTCTTGTTTACGCGCCGCCGACGCCGACTGTCGCTTTTCGCGTCTGGAGAGGCAAGTGGTCTCCTCTCCTTCGAGGCAGCAACAGATGACAAGACCACTTGTCGAAACGTTGGCTATACAGCTATACACACCCTGTTCAAAACGTTTTTCATCTCTTCGGGTCTCCATTTCCTGCTGGACTTTTGTTTTTTGATAGAAAAGCGCATGATAGGGGAACAAGTGGTAATTTCTGGCCACCGAGATTGTCTGGATGGTGGAGCACAAATGCTGTTGGGCGAAGGCTTATCGCGACCAGGACATTCCCGTCGGCCAACACGAGCACAGCGTTCCCTTGGTGGGTATGGCTATAAAATATCCATTTTCCCATGAGTGAGCACAAACACAAGAGACGTATACGACGCTAGGGTCGACCTAATGGACCCAGATGAGGTGATGTCATGTTCGCCTCAGAGTCTCATTAAATTTACTGCCATTCCTTGCTCGTCCAAGTCCTGGAAAGGTACCCCCGGCTTCAGCTATAGAGCTATGAAAGAAGTGCGGGGAGATGTGAAAAACTTAGTCGTTGTGTTTTGACATTGTTCGTTCTTTGGGGGGCTTTTGAAGGAGGGCGGGAGCAGGTGAAAATGAGGGGGGCGTTGCCGCCCTCCTCGTTTATCGTGCTGCTCTATAGCGCCACCTCTGCAATATACACGCGTGAGGCCACGTATCGAGCTATCGGGTGCGACCGAGTCTCTGAACAATCCTTGGGGGCAAAAAAAAAAAAAAGCGGAATGGTTGTCAAATCCTTTGTGCGAGAACTGTAATTGTAGGACCCATATTCAACTCCATTTATGAGGGCGTATGCGTCCACTCCAATTGTGCGCAATCACACTGAGTATAACTCGATCCCGTCCGACTGAGCTTTCCTGTATAAGTCTATATGTATCTCACCCATCAGGCTGTAAAACTAGGTTATATAACATGAGTGGGCTATAGAACGTCATTAGGCTATTTATTTTCAATGCCATACAATCTACATAGGAGATGGGGTCCAAGTTATATAGGTCCAAGAACGTGCTTCAGCTCTAGAGATGACCGCGTCTGGGTAATTTTCAGTTTGGACATTAGAGGCTTGAAGCTCCATTTTTAGATTAACTACAATCGCATGTATAGATGAACTTGTATACAGTGGGAACACGTTATAAGGACATACCGTCGATATGATAAATTATAGTTCGCCATATACGACAGTCATTGTAACAGTAGATATAAAGATGGACCCTGACGAGTCGACGATCTGGCTCGGGCAAAAATTCTAGATACAAAAATGCATGTACTGCGTGCAATGAGCATTTCTAGTTTCCGTGCACCATAGCCCCTTTTTTTTTTACTTCAGCAGCTTCAATCGTCAAAAGCTTCGTCAAGTAGCTTTTCAGTCTCCTGGCCAAGTCAGCGGTGTCCCCAGCATGAACGAGATTTCCACAGCCTTTTTAAGTACATTCTAAACAAACATTTTCAGTATTTTTGTGCTACATTTCAAGTTTTACACTTTGCGCGAATGAAAGTTTTTTTTTTCGTTGCAACCAATAATTCGGCGGCTCTCGCGTTTTTGATAAAAAGAATAAGTGTCACTGAAATGAAGCGTGGCCAACAAGAGTTCGTGTTTAGTTCGCTATAACTCATAATTCCCTATGTCCGCGTTCATTAAAACGACGTTCGACTGTAAACATGTAAATGTGTATTCTAAACGCGTATGCATAGATCAAGCACACGTTTATACGATAAGTACAAGCCGTATCCGAACACCCACCCACCCACCTGGTGGCGGCGCCAGCTTCGGCAGGCAGGTGAACACGCACCCGTTGAAGCAGCAGCGGTGGCTGTTCCAGCGGCAGTCGTCGTCGCTCGAACAGGGCTGGGCGCGGCACCGGGTGCGAGGCACGGGAACCCGAGGCGCCGGACAGTCGGCCGTGTCCGGGTTCAGGGCCAGCAGGTCGGCCAGCAGCTTGGACAGCTCGGACTGCAGTCGAGACGTGTATATGTATTATCTTAGTCATCCTCATCGCTGGTTAAAAAAAATGGCAGCATATCCACGGAGTGAATGATGGAGAGTGGGGCGAAGCATTCGTCCGTCCATGCGTCTGTCTGTGTGACCGTCCATGCGTCTGTTTGTGCGCCCGTCCCTGCGTTCTTTCATGCATCCGCCCCTGCGTCAGTTCATGCGTCCATCCATGCATCTGTTTGTGTGTCCGTTCGTTCATCTATTCAACACTCCAAGTCCCACCATCTCGCATCTTTTTATCATATATTCCCCATATAGAAGCACCGCCATCCAGCGGACATTCCAAGGACTAAACGATGATGGTAACCATGGTAAACCCGTGATGGTAACCATGGTAAACCCTGCAGGAGAGTTCAATAAAGTTATTTCCAACCAATGTTAAACAATATTCCTGCGGCCTGCCCCTTTTTTGAATACGCATTGCTCCCTGGGAAAGTCGGGGGTTCGAGTCGTTATTCCTAAATATGACCATATGAATTCATCTATGAAACATAATAATAATAATAATAATAATAATAATAATAATAATAATAATAATAATAATAATAATAATAATATCTGGATTTTAACGTCTCTATGAAACGTGGCCATGAGTGTTTCTTTTATGACCACCCGAGTTCTTTTGTAAGGGGTCTCTGTGTCAGATAATAATGAGTGACTCTGCTGTGTCACAAAATCCAACACACATGGTAAAAGCTTAACGTCACACCTTATACTCCGGCATAGCCGGTGGCGAGTTTATGGCCCCTGCCGGTCCTTACCCGCTGTTCCCTCAGAACTTAATTAAATGTTCATTGTCTTTCGTACCAGAGGTTAAGAAAAAAATACTATCATCTCTACATTTGAATGAACAGCTTTTCAAGTACATTTATTAAGCGACACAGCAAAAAGATATTCAGCGTTGCGGGAAAGTGATTGAATCTGTGTGTGTGAGGGTGTAAATTACTCACGACAGCTGATCTCGATAAGGTGCGAAATGCATGACGTGAGATGCATATCGGAGCCATCTACTCAAAACAGGTTTTTCGTGGCCTCCTGTTAAGAACGTTGGTAAAAAGAGAAGGCTCGAGCTTGACGTCAAGCGAAAGTTCAGAAAGTGATAAACAAGCAAAATATATGTGAAGGCATTCGACAGACTGGAATCGATACGCCGCAAACTAAAAGATTTGCAAAATGAAATCGCGTACCGAATTCGGCACTGACTTTAGGCCTGATAAGGGTGACGTATGTACATGCGTGTATGCATATATATATATATATATATATATATATATATATATATATATATATATATATATATATATATATATATATATATATATATATATATATTATATATATATATATGTGTGTGTGTGTGTGTGTGTGTGTGTGTGTGTGTGTGTGTGTGTGTGTGCTATTATATGTTATGTCAATGTTTTCGCTTTCTCAACGTTGTTATCGGCTTCGCACCGAAGCTCTTTACACCAACCCGAACTCTTCACCGTGTCCGCTCTTGTAGTGCCTGTATTTCGATTCCTATTTTAATCTTTCCGTACACAGTTCGTGGAAGTACTGATATAACTGCTGACGCTTGAAGAGGGACGAGACTCGACAACATCGAGCGCTACAAAATACGAACATGTATAGGTATACGGCCGCTAAAATCAGTGGTCGACGATTGAAACAGGCCTGACCGGGTCGTTGTCGTCGTGCGTCGTTAAATTCTTGCAGCTATAAAGGGACTCTGCAACACTCTCTCGGCGTGGTCAGAAAACGCTGCGCCTCGCGACAACACGCGAGCCGAACATTATAGCGCAGCACGTAGTCTGGAATCAAGAATTAATTCTCAGCCAATTACAAATCGCTCCTTTCCACAGATGATGCCACATACCCAAAACCACGGTCATTTGCTGATTTGAGCATCGCGGGCTTCATAGTTGCCGAGGCCGCCGCAGGAGGCCGCCACGTTCACAGGAGGCCGCTCGTGATTACACTGAAAGCAAGTCACACGTTCGAAAAAAAAAGGAGAAAACAGAACGAAAGGTCGTGACGCGGCGTAACGCAATTTATTTCTCTCGCGTCGCAACTCCCTGCTTAGCTTCCAGCGCGCTAGTAGGGAAGAGAGAAAGTAATTACAGTGTGCGTCAAATATGTGTGTAACACCGCTCGTACTTGACGGATTCTAGATACTTTTTTTTGTGGTGATCGATTCGTGAGCTAATAAACTTGTATATTTTAGCCATTCAGTGGTTACTTGAAAAAAAAAGTGTTGCAGGGCCTGTTAATGGAAACGGCCTTAGACGTCTCATCAAACTCTAAAGTTGTCCGTCGCCCCGCCGCGGTGGTCTAGTGGCTAAGGTACTCGGCTGCTGACCCGCAGGTCGCGGGTTCGATTCCCGGCTGCGGCGGCTGCATTTCCGATGGAGGCGGAAATGTTGTAGGCCCGTGTGCTCAGATTTGGGTGCACGTTAAAGAACCCCAGGTGGTCAAAATTTCCGGAGCCCTCCACTACGGCGTCTCTCATAATCAAATGGTGGTTTTGGGACGTTAAACCCCACAAATCAATCAATTAAAGTTGTCCGTCTGCGGCGTTGGCATGAGTGGCGCAAAAAAAAAAGAAATAGTCGCGTGATGATGTCGCTTGGTCAAATCATGTGGGCTGATCCATGAGACAATGCAAATCTAGGGGAGGCGCAATAAGCTGCAGCAATGCCTTCGATATCGGAGGCACTATAAAACCATGTTATCTGCAGAAAGTTTTCGTATCGGAGCGGCGGAGGATCAATGCATCGACTTGGAAGCACAAAAGGGTGGCTGTCGCCTTCGAGTTGTCTTATGTAAATGCATAACAGACCATATGATTGTCTTTTTTAATTTAAGTTGACGCCGCAGCTTGGAATGAGCATTGAACCACGAACCGCGGAATAGTTTAGCGGGTAGATGTGCGCGTTGCTAAAGCTCGAAAACACACGAATTCCTTTCACGCACTCGGTGGCCTCCATGGGCCTAACTGCGAAAACACCCGTGTAGTACATATGTAATACTTTGAGGGCTTGTTAAAAGAACTCCGAACTTGTCAAGAGTAATCCTGAATCCTTGAAATACTGTCCTGTCGTGCCTATTCCACGCAGAAATCTGTGGAAATCAATACATTTTTCATTGGCGCGCCAGAAATATTGGTTGTATGAGTGCAATCTGAAAAAAATTCCATAGGTCCTTATAGGTAATCAAGAAAACAGCGCTACAACACGAGGACGAAGAAAGAAGAAAAAAAACAGGCAGCGCCTGTCCGGTTGTTTCTTCCTTCTTCGTCCTCGTGTTATTGCGCTGTTAAGATGAATACCAACCGACTTGCCCGGAAATGCTGTAGGCCCATGTGCTCAGATTTGGGTGCACATTAAAGAACCCCAGGTGGTGGAAATTTCCGGAGCCCTCCACTACGGCGTCTCTCATAATCATATGGTGGTTTTGGGACCTTAAACTCAATATATCAATCAATCAATCAACCAATCAACCGACTTGCCCAATTTTCCTTATAGTCGATTGTATTGGGGGCCCTTTCGCATCCTATACTGGTCTTCTGACTGGTACAGTAAGCAATGACGTGCTTACGGACCAGTGCACGGTATATGGTGTTGCGTGTCTTTGTGAACACGCACTAAGCATGCATGCCCACTTTAATATTGTGATCTAAACCCCAACACACGTCCACTAACACCGAGACCATCTCGTCGACATGCATGACACGCTGCTCTGCAGCTACCACCTCGACGAACATCTTTAGGTTATACTCTGTAAGCCCGGAAGACGGTGAAGATCTTCTTCACGTGGGAGACCTATATAGGGCCAGCCAGCTAAACTGCTGGTTTTTATAAAATTATGTTCCTCCTGTTCCTTCAACCCAGAGCCGTAACCAGGGGAGAGTTGAGGGAGTTGTGACACCCCCGAAGTTTCTTCATGCTTTAACTTTTCGAGTGACTATAAAGTATGTATTTACATAAATTTACATCGACCACCAGTTGCCAAAGTTAGCCGTTATACACATAAACGCCCCCCGGAAAAAGTTCCTGGGTACGGCCCTGCTCCATCCAGTCTGGTTTTCTGGCAGCCATCTCTCGATTACAGGAAAGTCTGCATTTCTTTCTTCCTTTTTAAAGACGATAGTCTTTCTTGGAGTACTTCGACGCAAAAATTTTGGCCTGCCTGTCTGTTTTTCTGTCTGTACATTTGTCTGTTTGTCCGCCGTAACGATACCCCAAACGGCCAACCACATCCGCAGCGCCCACCAATACTGCTCGAGCTTCAGCGTGCATACTTGTGCGATTGTCAATTAAAAAGCAATCATTGCATGCGCATGTCTGAGGCACCATAACACGTCGATGTTTTGCATGTGTGCCTTTATACTAAAGAAGGCACCCACAAGTTACTCTAAGGACCGTTGCGTTTATCACGCTGCGCTGACAGTGCAACGCGATGCTCAAAAAAAGGGCAAGTGTTCCCAACGCTTCGCTATGACGACACGGTGGGGGCCCCTGCCCGTCGCTTTGCGTTCTACTTATCGCCTCAGAGACAGGCAAGGCGCGCATGTTTCTCCGCGAGCGCGCACGCCTTCCTTCGTTTTCGAAGATAACTGACAGATGGCGCTCGTGTCTAACGTGCCTCGGTGCGCTCGTTCGCCTTCGCAGCACGGATCAAGACTCTCTAACGCAGCGCTTCCAGAATATAATTTACCGATTTTCTGGCGGAGGACATCAAATAAACGTTTTGTTCACTTTCTCCACACACAAGATATATCGTCTTTCGACGACTTTTGCAGTGAAACATGCAGAAACGGGGCCATTTTTTTTTCTTTTCAGGTCGTACCTATAACAAATCGTGGAAGGTGTTGAGACCCATATGCCGTGCATGGTTTCTATCGATGATGCACTCTACTGCGATTGCCGAGCGATATCTGACGCCCAGATCTCATCGGCGCA